AAAAGAACTGAGATGTAGTCCCCAAGCACTCAGATGAAGTCCCCGGTACTCCATTTGAGTTCCTTGAAGAACTCAGACTGAGTTCCTCGAGGTACTCAGATGTATAGTGGAGGAGGCACTCACATGCAGCTGGTTTTTCGCACAGGGGAACTCAGATCAAGTGTCTCGAGGCACTCTATGGTATTACCCCGGGAACTACATCCAAGTGCTTTCGAGGAACTACATTCGAGTTCTTCTACTTCCTACAGTGGTTAGATGTCAAACCACTCAAGACTCACCTATACACGGGGGTATCTGCCATCTCCACACTGCACAGATGACTATTTTGTCCAGTTGAAAGTCGAAGACATGGCGGCAGGGGCGTCAGAGTTGGCGGCAAAAGGCGTCAAAGGCGGCGTCAATGGTGGCGCCGGCGGCAGAAAGTTGGCGGCAATGGCGTCAGTGGCGGCGTCGATGTGGGCGTCAGTTGTGGCGGCAGGTGGCGGCAGTAGCGTGACATGTTGTGACATGGTGGCGGCACTTTTCGAACAAGTGGCGGCAGTCATGGCGGCACTTTTTTTGGCACACAAAATGGGACTTGAGGTAAGCATATTTTGGAATAGTATCATGCTCGGGACATCAGTCCTCGATGACCGTTTGAGCTGAAAATGTAAAGCTGCTTCGAGCGCAGCATTTTAAGCACACACGGGATTTGAACATTTGACCGTTCAACTTGGGTTAGCACGCAGTCCGGGCACCAGACACACTTGCACCCCACTGGATATTTGTTGCAGCGTCATGTAACTTTGTCTACAGCCACCCGTTTATTTGCATTAATGACATTTAGGGTTGTCTCGCCTTTCTCCTATTCCACCCCTCTCATCTGCTTCCACCATGGACCCCGTCTACATTGCGCTCATTCTCTGCCTTGTGGCCACCAATCTCGGTCGAATCTTTTCGGTAGCAACCTGGCTGTGCAATTGGTTTACAACCAATTTCATGGGGCCGACATTTGTGCCATACCTGACACCGGACGGTGCGCCGGCGCGTTTCTGTACGCAACGTCCTTCGCTGAACAAATTTGCAAAGGGGAAATACTCGGCAGGGTTCGCATTCCACCCGACCGACGGGACATCAACGTCGAAGCGCGCAGTCGATGCAGATAAGTTCCGGGATTGCGATTGAAGCAGAACAATTTGAGAAGAACAGATCTGCGGAACAACCATACCAGGAAATCAGTAGTAAGTACCAGTGCCCGCACTTGAGTACTCAGGTACTACCTCGGAGAAGTGAGTGGGAACATGGGATGCTGATGGCCGTCCGCCTGTTCATTATCAGGTATTGAAATTCTGAATTATTTTGGCGGCGGCTGGGGCGGAAGGTGTGGCGGCAGTGGCGGCGTCAGTGGCGGCAGTGTGACAAAAAGTGACGCCACCACTGCCGCCAAAAAGTGGCGCCGAGGGCGTCAGTTGGCGGCATGGCGGCACTTTCTGTGTGCCCGTTGCAAATGGATGAATTCTGTCGAAACGATTCAGGACGAGCCGAGGAGAGCCGTTCAATTTCACGTACCCAACCGAGAAATGGCTGACGTGGTCGACGCCCCCAGCAATCTCACTTATGTGAGCCATGAAAGCTGTGGACCTGATACGCAGACGGAATCTATAGACCAGCGCCTGCGCTGAGGGAGGAGGGAAGAAACCAATGAATGAAGATGGTGGTTCTTCTGAATCGTCTTGCCTATGTATGACTGCGGAAGACGAACAACAAACAGATACTTTCCCGCTGATCCAAGATGAAAGATCTTGGATTTGGATCGCACTGAGATAGCGGGAATGCCTGCGAAAGATAAGCCGACTCTGAGTTAGAGCAAAAGGTCAAAATGTTACACTCCCAAATATTTGATGCAGTATCAACGCATCGAGTGACATCGGGACGACCCGTACGACCCTTGAAGCCAGCCATCCACCGTGGTGATATATCAAGGCGTCGAAACAGCAGTTCTCATGCGCTGTGTGGCGTGGTGTCGATCTTCAGTTCGTCGTTGCGGCGGGTGATCAAGATGAACGAAATCGGTAGCAGACGCACGGGGTATGAAAACAGTCATTATCCGTTCTTTAACGAAATGGCTCTCGATTCTTTGTCCAGATGTCACTCAGTTTGGCTCCATCCCCGTATGGACTTTCCATTTACACCCATCTCCCTCTTTGAAGGGCCTCTCTACAGCTTTCTTACAGCTTTTGCAATGCTTCTTTCCCCACTGTCGACAGTTGTGGCCCACGACCACAGCTTTCTTGACAGACCAACACGGAACAGCAGTGGAGCGACCACTGGCCGTAAGATGACGCGTCGCCGGCAGATGCACTTATAGAGAAGCTGGGCCCTGGCCGCCGGTTCGCCCACTTTCCCTCCTACCCATTCCTGGCTGCTACGTGCTACTTATCCTTGGTCATTGGGATCTTCAAGACTCAATTGTTCTGCTGCTGGGATACTTAGTGTTGTCTCTTTTGTCCTCAACTTGAAGCCGGCTTCTTGGCGAACCCCTCATTGGACATCTCACCATGGCATCCCTCTCCATTTTCATACCGGCGTTCATCAAGTCGAAGATTTTGACGCCGGTCAGGAAATGATTCCGGCGTCGCGCCTCTCAGCCACACAGGAGCTTCCGAACATCGCCGTCTTCAATCATCACATCCCAATGGACACTGAATCTCTATATGCGCCAAATATGCGAAGGTTTCAACCGCTCAGCTTCGCATTACTGCAATACTCTGGTTGGTGGGGGGGGGGGGGGGGGGGAGACTCCACGAGATACGTGCCAATGATGTAGTGCCCCGGTGCATGGTTCTGTTTTCACTCATTGGATTGCAGACTTACCTGGCTCGAGATCCGGCGCCGTCGTGCACCGCGCCGCACGCTCTGACTCGAGGTTTATACTCGGTCTCTTTGACCTCGGGGCACTCTCCACTGCTATCTCCCTTCAAGCCACGCGTCGCACCGCCCGGCGATGTTCGAGACATTCCCCGGCTGTGCCTTCACGCTCCCCACATTCAATCCGCACGCGATGCATCATATGCGTGGTTCTTTCCATCCGCTGCTACTGCTCTCGCGCTTGCATGGCTCTTCGCTCTTCAAAGATTCAAAGTTCAAATGATTTCTCGAAGGTCTCTGACAACAACAACGTCCCTCCAGCTTTGATCGTTCTATATTCATGCTGGATCGTCCCTCACCGGCCCTGCCGCAGGCATCCGGAACATCACATTCCCCCATCTTACCCAGGTCGTACTCTGCCGTCCTTTCAACTTTGCCACCGCCTCCGACGTTCAAGACCGCTGGCTACATCAGACTTTTGACATGAAACTTGTGAGCTTGTACAAGCTCATTCAAGCTCACAAGCTTCTGCCAAATCGCCGCAAGCTCACAAGCTCACAAGCCAGGTCTCGAAATCCACAAGGTCTGCCGTTCGACTCCTGGAAAGTGCAAAATTTTATTTATTCTTGGCCGCTCCTGTGTTTACATTTGTGCTCAGTGAACTCGAGGGCTGTCCTGCTGTTTACAGAATTATTTCTGAGCTGAAATTTGGTTTTTTCAGATGCATTGTTCATTGGAATCGAGCTTGCGAGCTTGTGCGGCAAGCTGCCAAGCCCCACAAGTCCACAAGATGATTGTCAAAACACTGATGTAGCTGCATCTCAATTTTCAAACAAACCTGTACACTATTCTGGGGAAGACAATCGACATTGATCACTCAGGACAAACTGATGAGCGCCATCGAGTAAACTCACGGCTACATATATCCGCTGGTCTCTGCAGGCTCAAAGCTATCAGGTCTGTCTGCATTTCGAATTCATTGACTTCTATGTACAGTCCAACTTCGCTCCGGTGGAGCATTCATGATTGGTTTCAATGTAGTCCCCATGTGCACGTAATCAGAGTTCATTGGTTTCAAAATTCAGGCCCACAATGCAAAATTTCCGGAGCGAAGCGAAGGAGCGTCTTGTAGCAATACACAAAATTGTGTTCGAGTCGAAACTATTCGTCGGCATACTTCTGGGGTTTCGCCCTCTGTGTGTCGCAGGCCGTGAGCGGGAGAGCCATAGGCCGAAACATGAAACTTACCTTTTCACATATTTGCCACGGTCCTCAACAATCCGACACGGCCACTGAATCGCTTCCCTCAACCACGGTATTTCCCCAGGATCCAGACGCAGACCCGGAAGCCAATTGACCGACAACGTAACATTGAAGTGCATCGGCACAAATATTGCCCCGACTTGTCCATACTTTCCACTCCAGACGAGTCAAAACAGAAACGAAATTAAAGGGATAAACACTCACGCGCCTCCGACTGACTTGCAAGTATATTCGCCGCCTGCGTGATCAACCTCGCCGAATCCAGCGAGACGAGCCTGACGGAGCCTTGTTGGACTTGGGGGTTGGGGCAGGGCAGGAGGGAGTCGTAGAGGCGAGTCATGAGTCGCAACTAATCTCGCCCAAACCAAAATCTTGCGCGTAGGACGGCTGGACAGTTCCACGTCAGCGCCCAGATGTGCCTCGCGGGGTGGACTGGTGCTAGTAGTCGAGTAGGAGCGACAGGCTGATCCGTTACTGCTCGTGCCGACCTGAGATCCAGCGGAAAGGCGCACCACAGGGAACGCACCGTGAGGGGCATCGTCGTCAACAACGTTGCTGCGCCCGCTGTGCACGGGGGAGGCAGCACCTTCCTCGCGACGGTATGTCCGTTTGAAACAGACATGGAGGCAAGACGTGAGGATATCCATTGACTGGATCTCGCTTTTGTTAAGGGACGGTGGGAGTCGGAAGAGAGATGTCATCACCTCACGTGTCATAGAGTCCGTGCGGCGTGTGTTTTCGTGATCCGACGCGCAACGCTACCGGCATTTCGTCGGGTTGCCGCCGCCTGGGATAATCCAGTCGTCGTCGAGTTCGACCTCTCATTTCGGGAAAATTCTTTCCAGACCACCGACGGGTGTCCTAGGCCCATGGCATGGGCCCTTCACAACGGTTGTGTGATGTAGAGGTTATCATTCCAGATTTTGATTGTGACTCGTCTTCTGGCCACCCCGGTTCGAGTCCGGGCACGACCTGTTTTGAACTTTTTTTGCATGTCAGCACGTCTTCTTCAACGGCTCATTAGCGTCCTTCTTAAGGCGTCCCAGTCATTTTTCGCAACTTCCTTTTTGTCGTTGTGTGATTACAATTGCACTCCTGTTCTGGAAACCAACACTTCAGGGTGGATGTCCCAGTTCACGTAAATAAAATAAAACATGACTCCGGAAATCCAACTGCCACATCTTTCATGGGCGATGAACTGGATATTATAGCTCTGCTTCCATGTTACTCCGCAGATACTTCAGTACACATTCCATTGGCCTGGAGTTCCTGATTTGGCAGGGATGGTTATCATTCATTGGCAGTGCCGGGAGAAGATGTCACTGGGCATTCAACATCCGGTACTTCCTGTTCGATTCGGGGCCTGATTCTGAATGGGAGAGGTTGTCATATTTTGGATACTTGAGTTCGAGGGCCGCGCTGAAATTGAGGTACGTTGTAGTCCACAGCAAAATCAACCCAGGATATACCCTGGTCTTGATTCCCGCGGGTCCAGGATGACATGCAGTCTCAGATTTTACGGGGGTAAAACATGCGCTGTTGATTCTACCCCGTTCCAATCAAGACAAAGTTCAACGAAACACCGGGCGAAAAAGACAACATGGGACTCCAGAAGGGCGCTCCCATAGCACTGGCAGCGAACACCGAGACTCCAGTGTACGCTTGAATAAGATTGATTGAGACTGGGGCTAACTGGACGCTGATTCGGGAATCGAGGCCCAGCGCAACACTGAGGAGATGATTCAATGAAAACCAGGGGAAAAAAGAGGAATACGAGTACATAGCAGGGCTATGTCCCGGAGTCGAACGAGCTTGAACCAGGTGGGTTGAGGGTTGAGTGTACGCTTGATCCAATGTGATTCAATAATCGAGACTGAGCTCAGTGGAATTCTTGAGGCGACGCTGATTCCAGGATCGAGGCGCAGCGAAGGCTAGCTGCATGAGCTAGGGGGATCCCGCCTCGAATGTTTTTCGAGCGTGAGCGGAAACGCATACTATCTCAGTGGGTAGGAGCGTGTAGAAGAGCAAGCTCAGAAAATGAATGAAGTGCCTTCAATCACCTTGATCGTGATGGTTCAACTTCCAGACTGCTTGCTGTACTTGAGAACGGAAGTCTTTTGCTCTCGATCAACGAAGAAATGAACCCATCTTGAGTAGTGTCCGATGAGCGAGTGGCCGGCTGTGCTTGGCGACAACGAACTCGGGAGTCGGGTATGAATAGCCGCTGTTCCAGCCGAGCCCAACGTAAATCCCAGAAAAACGTTCCGTTCTAGGTTAGTCCAGCTTGCGAAGCCGGCAAGAAATTTCATTGAATACCCAGTCGTGGTTCTATTTTCTCAAGGCTCTGAAATCTCCGTTTGGAGTCCACGCCGAAACCAGGGGTTGACTTGACTTACGTAAGACGCGTGGATCACGGCCCGCAAAAGATGATTCAATTATTAATGAAAATTCCGCCTGTTGCCTCGGAGAGAGGGCGGGAAGAGGAGGCGCCAAGTGACCGGCGTTAAAGGACGCCAGAAGACGCCAGCGGAGTTGGGCCGCGTGGAGGCGGAGTGGCACAGCGCGTAGCACCATCAGCCATCACCTCGCATGCGACATCGGCCGCCGTGACGTGTATTGACGGGTGCAGCGGGGTGTCCTGGAACGTCGGGAGCACTCTGGAAAGTGTGTGCATTTGGCAGTAAAACGGAGGAGGGCGGAGGTGGGAATTTTTGGATGTGGGGAGGCCGTTTGGGGTTGATCGGAAGAAAGTACAGCCGTGAGCGAATGCTGATGCTGAGGGGCATTTTTTCGTCTGAATTACAGAGTCCCTTGGGTGTCTTGAAAGTTAGGGTGCGCAGGATTTACATTGAGGAGAGACCAGGGTCAGGAGTTGGCTGACAGGAGCAAGTGCGTCGGAGTGATCAGTGATACATCCGGCGATCGCTACCAAGCCACGCTTCTTGACTTGTCACTTCTGCACTTCTTTCTTCCATCACCTCCCCTCTCGCCCTCCCTCCTCCTTCTAGCGCCCACCTTCGTTTCCCTTCCCTCCGACACATACAATGGGGTGTGCAAGCAGCAAATCTGTCGAGGATGCCGAGGCCGATGCCCGTGGGTCTCAGCGCCACATTGCCTCCGCTCTGTCGGATGTCACTGACCGTCGGCCTAGGCAACGCCGCCATTGAAAACGACCTCAAGCGCGACCGGGCGCAGCTACGCAATGAGATCAAGATGCTTCTCCTCGGTGCAGGCGAGTCCCCTCCACGCCTCCATCGCCACACTGGTCACTGACTGCCGGGATATAGGAGAGTCCGGGAAGTCGACGGTGCTGAAACAATTCAAGCTCATCCATCTCGACGGGTACAACACGCAGGAGAGAGAAGCTCACCGGGAGATTATCTACTCGAATACGGCCCAGAGTATGCGGTACGTCGTCCCCCCTGTCTCGCTCGCTACCCCCCTTCTGAGACGCCCGCTCAGCGCCATCCTCGAGGCCCTTCCCTTGCTTGAAATTGGCCTGCAATCCCAAAGCGAGGGTTACCGCTCGACAGTGATGGGTTTCCCGACACAGATCGAGGCGGATATACTCCCTCGTGAGTTGGGCGAGGCTATCTCTGGCCTGTGGCGCGGTGCGTCTCAATACTTCCTTTCGTTTCTTGCCTCTTATTTCCCCGTAGATCCTGGTATCCAGGAAGCCGTCCGTCGGTCGCGGGAGTTCCAGCTCAACGACTCTGGTGCGTTATCCTCAGCGCCATTTCCATGCGACGGCTGACTCTCCGAAGCCGTATACTACTTTGGCATGATCGACAGAATGGCGGCGCCGAACTACCTGCCCACGGACCAGGTGCGTGCCCCGTTTATTCAAATAGATGTCTCTCATACCTCATAGGATATTCTGCGCTCACGAGTCAAGACGACGGGTATCACGGAGACGACCTTCAAGGTCGGCGAGCTGACATACAAGCTCTTCGACGTCGGTGGACAACGTTCGGAGCGTAAGAAGTGGATCCATTGTTTCGAGAATGTGACGGCGTTGGTGTTCCTCGTTAGCATGAGCGAGTACGACCAGGTGCGTCTTTTTTGTCATATTTTTCTCGTACCCTCCTAATCAATTGCCAGATGCTGTACGAGGACGAGAGCGTGAACCGCATGCAGGAGGCGCTGACGCTGTTCGACTCGATTTGCAACTCGAGGTGGTTTGTCAAGACGAGTATAATCCTCTTCTTGTACGTTCCTTCTCGACTTGTTGTATCTCCGCTTATCGTTCGTCCCAGAAACAAGATTGATTTGCTGGCGGAGAAGCTGCCGCGCAGTCCCTTGGTGCGTCCTTGACATCGTCTCCTACCTCCTCGCTCATCGGTATCATATTATAGGGAGACTACTTCCCCGATTTTACGGGCGGCACCGACTACGACGCCGCGTGCGAGTACCTGCTTCACCGGTTCGTGTCTCTCAACCAGAACGCGTCCAAGAAGCAGGTATACGCCCATTACACATGTGCGACGGACACTCAGCAGATCAAGTGTATGTGATTTTCTATCATTAACTTTGCGGGCGCTCATCTTCCCTTTACAGTCGTGCTTAGCGCGATCCAGGATATTCTCCTGCAGCTCCATCTGCGCGAGTCGGGCCTCCTGTAGACAGACGTCTTTCGTCTCCCCATCCGTCACGCCTTCGACGCCCTTTTACACGACAGTGCTGTGCGACGACTACTCACTAGCAACAAAACATCACTACCCATCCATCTTGCCATCGTCTTCATTACTTAATGTAGTTATTTTTTATTAAGAGTACATATGCTCCACACGTTCATTTTTCATTGCGATTTATACAACATCGCATTTTTTGGTACATACCATATACATAGCTATTCTTTGGAATATACTTGGATGGCAGACAGCCTTGGATTGGAGATTGTAAATGGATTTTGCTGGACATGACAGCCACGCGTCGACGGCTTCTTGTCTCCCACCCCACCTCGAGAGCAGCCTCTGCGGGAGCGCCTGGTTTTATCCCAGGCCGCACTGTACGACTGCCCAGCTCCAGCCCTCCGCCCGACCTCCGCCCGTTGTCATTCGATTCGGACAACTTTGGACAGTGGACACCAATTCAATTTATGGTGCGGTCCTTGTTCTCTGCTTCTGACCTAACGTCGTTCTCCTGTGGTCCATTACTTAATACTCGAAGGATCTGGATCGCATCTGAACTTGACAGAACTTCCACCTTCGTCGTGAGCGCTCCGGTGAGCTTCATTGGTACATATCACAAACAATATCCTTTTTCATGCTGCATGCAGCTCATCGAGCCGACTGTTTGGTCGTAAACAATGATGCGCCTGTTGCCTCTGACCACCATCATCGAAATGCCTCGCGTTCAGAATCGCCTCCTCACCCATTCTTTCAACCCTCTCGGTGGGCCTTCCTATGTTTGTCCCAAGCACCGTGCACCCTTTCCCGAATTCAGGTCTCTCTTCAAGCCACAAATCATTGTAGCCGCGTCGTCTTGTCCAATAGCTCTCCTCCTTCACTTGATTCGGCCGCACTGATCATGACACCGTGCACACCAGGATGCCCGTGTGTCCCGCTCCACCACTCGCAACACCGTCCTGACAGACATGAGAAACCTCTGCATTGAGACCGGATCTCCCACCTTCCCACCGCTATCTCCGCTACCATCGTCAGCTGAGGTCATTACAGGCGCCCATTCGCCGCCGTATAATACGACTGCCAGCATCATGCCCAGATCCCCACCCTTGACCTCACATGCCTTCCATGATTGTTTGGGCTGCCACTGCTGCTGCCGTCGGCGTACTCGTGTATCTCCGGACACGTCTCCGACGCGTTACGAGGCTGCCGCTCCCTCCGGGACCGCCTCGAGAGCCGGTGATAGGCCACTTGCGAGCTATCCCGCCAACCAATAGGGCTGTGATTTTCCACGAATGGGCCAAGACTTACGGTATCCGTTCTCTCCCTGTCCCACTCATTTTTATGGA